TAATGGAAAATTAGAAAATAAAGACCCATATGTATATGTACTGTTTACTTAAGTTAGATCATACTGTATATATTGCCTTGTAACCTTCCTTCAATTAGCAGTCTGTCTTTTCCTACATCAAGTACTGAGTCAAATGCCTAGCACAGGACCAAAGTCCACATCTTAAAGTTTATATGCCTTAAGTCTCTTTTAATGAAATAGAACCCAGTTCCTTTTCTCTTTCCCTACCAATAATTTATTGAGGAGAAAGGGCCCAACTCTCCTGCAGGATATTTTATTTCTAGATATCTCTATTGCTTCCAAATTTAACTTGTTCCTCTTATTCCTTGTATTTCCTGTTAACTAGAAGTTAAATCTTAAGGACTGAGAGAAGTAAGTTAAACATCTTTGACTGGGATATATGATATAAGTTATTTACTTTTTATTTTACCTTATCAAGAGACACAGTATCTGGGTAAGTCCACCATTAGAGACTGAATTTGAATGCTGAGTTAGAGTATTGACCACCAATCTCTTCATTGTAGAGGTTCACCTTTATCATCTGGGGCAATTGACTTGTTTTGAAATAAAATTCTTCTTGCAAAGGCAAGATAGATAAATTCTTTCACTTAATTATGAATATTTACCAAGCATCAGAAGATGGTCAAAGTTTTTTTTCCTCCTTTTTCAATGTCATTTTAGACTCATGAATTGGTATTGATTTCAGTGTGTTTATCAGTCAGCATCAATGATAACTCTCAACAACTCTGACTACTCGTAAGGGGATCCTGCAGACTTGATTCCTGTCCTGTGTCTTTTTTGCTGTGATACTGTTTTTTAATTAAGGAAACCTTTCAACATAAAAGCATAGATTAAAAAATATAGATTAAAAAAGTATAATTCCTCCCTGGTGGCACAAGGAGTTAAGTCTCGGCACTATAAAGCTATCGGCAGTCACTGCAGCAAGAATTCGATCCCCGAGCAAGGAGCTGACCCACATGGCACAGCAGACCTCTCCTGTCTCCCGCTGCTCTCTTCAGCAATGAATTTCAGTAGAGCTGCCTGTTCTGCTCCCCACTCTGTCTCTGGTGAATCTTCTCACCCCCCACACTTCTGGCCTACACCCCAGTTCTTGTATGCATAAATAAATAAATCTTTTTTTAAAAGGATATATATAAGTAAGCATAGAGAGTAATACAGTGACCCTCCATCATACCTACTTTCAGCTTCTGCAGTTATTAATATATTTTCAGTCTTGTTTTATCTATCCTCTATTGAATTTATTACCTCCTGGATTATGATCCCATTGATATTTGGAAGTTTTCCTTGTTTCCTGACATGGCAAGATTCCATGGAATCATCCATTTCTCTAAGAAACCCTAATGGCTTCTACTAAGGAGTAGTGTCAGATAACAAAATTTGAGCATAAAGGTTACTGAATGCTTTTAATTTTGATTTTCCTTTGCTTTCCTACCTTGTATCTCATCATAATGGTAGATTAGTTACTTAGGGTTATTTTCATTTGAGTCATAGAGGGAGGACTGAAAGAAGGGATATAAAAGGTCACATTGTTTTATTGCTCTTTTAATTGGTTTAAATGTTAGGTATAGCTGATAAGTCTAATGTTGACACAGAAATGTTTTTAATGAAGAATTTTTAAAAATAAACACCATTTGGTGTTAAGTTTGCTGCAATACAATATTAGAAAATCCTCAGTTCATAAATATATGGCTTCTGAAAGTTTGCTTGTATCCCACTTTGGTTTTTAAGCAGTCAACACATTTTCTCATAGTAATAATACAGATGATAAAATGTTACTGGATATCCAGCTGTTAAAATCTTTTTAATAATAAAATTTATTAATAATAATAAATTAATAATAATAAAATTCCAAGATGGACTAAATCCATATCTTTCCTACCTTCCTCTTCTGATGCACCAGTAAAATAATATGGATAAAAGTAAGAAATAAAGAAAAGAACTTTATATGAAGACTACCAAAGAATGATAATGAATGGATTTCTGCATCTCTGTTGAGTACCAGAAGACACAGCTGCACCCTCCCCTTACTTCCTCATACCTCTCCCACCACTGCATGTGGACTATAGATAGCAGGTGTGAGCCCCAGGCAAAGCACCAGGCCTATGTTCTTTAGAAAAGTTGGGAAAGGCAAAAGCTTTCAAATACAAATTATATCCACTGAACAACAACAAAGAAAAACCATCTTCATTCTGACATTTAAAAGGTCTGCTGATTCCCCACCCATACTCCTAAAGGAATACTGCTAGTCAGCCTAGATCCAACCCACACAGCCACCGTCAGGAGAGCAGTCTAACCAAAAACAGACCAGCTTCACAATAACAGAGAAGCTCCGTGTTGGCTAATGAGTCATTCTGTCTTAAATATTCATGAGTAACCAAATCTCACCAGACATGAGAGGAAAACTAATAGCATGAAAGAAGGACTGAAATAACCAGAAAAAATTTTGCTACTGAAGAAAATAGAGCTCATCAGAAAGAACTTCACAGAAAAGGAACTCTAATATACTCAGAGTTGTAGTAAAGTACCTCCATTAAACAAGAATAAAAAAAAAAAAGTTTTCAGGTTGAGAGGGTACACCTAGTGTGGAAATAGTGAATCAAATATACTGTAATGCATTCTCACAAAACTGCAGAATTCTAGGATAAGCAAAAGATCCAGAGAAAAGTCATGTACAAAGTGACAAGTAACTGAAATCAAACCTCTCATCAGTAACCTTTAATGCTTTAAGACAGTAAAATATTGTCTACAACATTTCAAAACAAAATAACATGCAGTCAAGAATTCTATATCATGACAAACTGTTAATCAAAAGTGAGAGCAGAATAAAGGTGTTTTCAGTCATGCCAGGTCTCAAACTTTAACTTCTCTTGCATTTGAAAAAAAGAGTGAGGTCCTCCCTGGTGGCGCAAGGGGTTAAGATGCAACCTATGAAGCTATCCACAGCCGTTGCAGCACAAGTTTGATCCCCAGCCAGGGAGCTACCCACACAGCACAGCAGACCTCTCCTGCCTCGCCTGCTGCTCCCCTCAGCAGTGTATTTCAGTAGATCTGCCTGTTCTGTTCCCCGCTCTGTCTCTGGTGAATCACCCTCACACCTGTGGCCTGTACCCCAGTTCTTGTATGCATAAATAAATAAATCTTTGCAAAAATTAAAAAAAAAGAAAGAACAAGTGAATTACACATTCACTCTCAACTTTCTTCAAAAACAAATTCCCATTGTGTAGTTTTTCATTAATCATTTCATTTTGAGGGTTGATTTTTTTTCATTTCCTTGCTGCCAAAGGATTTGTTAGGGGGAAACCAAGAAGGAGGATTACAATGACTAAAATAAGTAGTTGTGGATTTACGCCATACAGTAATTTACAAAGGTACTGTAGCAAACAGCAATAAGAGTACTTCTTTAACTGTCAGCAGGCTGAGCTATTTCACATATTGCACATACAAGTAATTTGCCCATAATTTCCTATACTTCCCACTGTCCTCAGCAACAGGCAGCCTGACTACTTGCACTGCAGTCATGACTAGGTAACCATATGGCTTATACAGCAACAGCATCCAATTCTTCTCGCATCAGTATTAGGATGACATGATCTAGCTTATATTTAAAAGCATCATTCTGACTTCTGTATTGAGAAAGGACTTGGGGATAGAACAGTAGAGCAAGAGTAGAAGCAGGGTGACCTGTTTGGACATCATTCAGTATTCCAAATGAAAGATAACAGTGGCTCTGGCGTGGTAGTAATCGTGGAGTTGGTAAAAAGAGGTTGGTATAATTTGATGGCAGAGCCAACAGGAATTCCTGACTGATGGGCTATAGGGTAAGTAGGAAAAGAGTCAAGATTTTTGGTTTGCTCTGTGGAAAAGGATTAATAGGTTGAAGGGAAAGATTCAGAGTTACGTTTGGGATGTTAGTGTTTCGAAGCCTGTTCAATCTGCAAATAAAAATGTCGATTACTTGGATTGCCACTTGTGTATATGTGTCTGCAGTTTTAAAGCAAGTTCTGGCCTGGAGATAGAATTTTGGGAATAATCAGCTTATAAACTATATTTAAAACTGAGATTGGGTGAGATCATCCAGGATATAGATAGACATAAAGAAGAGATTTGAGCAAACAAAACAAACTTTGAAATCTGTCTACATTATTGGCTACCAGAAGGGGAGGGGGTGGGGGACAGAGAGGTGAGGGGTCAAATGGACTGGGGTGGAGGATGAGAGGTGCTTTAGTTGTGGATGTGGTGTGGTAACATACATTTGAAGAAGAGTGAACCTATAACCCTTGTGAGTAAAACAAAATTACCTCAATACAAATAATTTAATCAAAAAAAAAAAAGATGATGAAGAAATCATCTGAGAACTGGGACTTTAAAGTAGTCCAACATTTGAAGTTCAGTGAGATGAGAAGGAAAGATCAAAGATGACTAAGAAAGATCAGCCAGTGACATAAAAGGAGAAGCAAGAGATAATGGTACCCTCGAAGCCATGGGAAGAAAGTTTATCAAAAGAGATAGAGTGACGGACTATTTTTATGCTGCTGAGAGGTCAAATAGGATGAGCATGAATGTTCACTATTGGATTTAATACCATGGATGTCTGTGTTTACCTTGATAAAAACCTGCTATCTTTTTCAAATAACTTCTAAGTTCTTATGGTAGAAATATATATTAAATTAAGGTCAACTGTTTTAACACGTGGAACTCTTAGATGTTTCTTTTGGCTTAGGGAAATTGGGAAATAATTACTTAGATGCCAAGAGAGTTTTGGGAATCTCTGCTTTGAAGGATTATGCTGAGCATTTAAAGAGAAAGCTCCTCTTTTTTTTTTTTGGTCTGTGTTGAAGAGTTTGAGTTAGTAATTTTGAATTTCATCAGATCGCATGCAATTAATGAACTTGCCCTTTGTAGTTGTTCATAAAAAAAGAAAATCTTAATCTGAAATGTCAGTAGTACATCTGCATGAATTTTTATTCTTGCCTCCACAGGTATGGTCTGAATATGCGTTGCTTGGCAGCTCGGGTCAACTATAAAACTTTGATTATCATCTGCGCACTCTTCACTTTGGTCACTGTGCTTTTGTGGAATAAGTGTTCCAGCGACAGAGCGATCCAGTTTTCACGGCACTTGAGTAGTGGTTTCAGAGTGGATGGATTAGACAAAAGAGCAGCAGCATCTGAGAGTAACAACTATGTGAACCATATGGGCAAGCAACAATCTGAGGAGGCATTTCCTCAGGAACAGCAAAAAGCACCTCCTGTCGTGGGGGGCTTCCATAGCAATGGGGGAAGCAAGGTGTTGGGGCTCAAATATGAAGACATTGACTGTCTCATAAATGACGATCACACAATTAAAGGGAGACGCGAGGGGAATGAAGTCTTTCTTCCGTTCACTTGGGTAGAGAAATATTTTGATGTTTATGGAAAGGTGGTGCAGTATGATGGCTATGAGCGGTTTGAATTCTCTCATAGCTATTCCAAAGTCTATGCACAGAGAGCTCCTTATCACCCTGATGGTGTGTTTATGTCCTTTGAAGGCTACAATGTGGAAGTCCGAGACAGAGTCAAGTGCATAAGTGGGGTTGAAGGTTGGTATCTGTCTATTCCACTGCATTTTTCTCGTCCGTGTTGAGAAATAAGAAACTACAGGTGTTAATTATATGGCAAGTACATACACTGCTTATTATCAAGAGACCTGTCGTTAAGTCTGAAACTAGGGCAACTTTCTAGATGATAGGATTTAAAGACTTCAGTAAAATCACACCCAATCAAATAAGATTATTCCATTAACCTGCTTCAGAATCTAAAATTCTCACCAGTAAGTTCAAGGCACAGCATTTCCAGAAATGTCACATTGAAATAAACAGCGGTTACCTGTGAGAGGACATGTGAAAGGGACGTAGTCACCAGGGGACTCATCCATGCTCCACTGCAGTCTTGTTACCATATTAGCCAGGTGTTATCTCAGGAAGAACAAAGCAGTACACAGACACCATTTGCTCTAAACCTTTACTGAACCCCTATAGTCTATTACATAATGTCTTTCAGTTAGTACATTTTGGAATTTGTGTTTCAAACCTTGGGTTCATCAGAAAACCAAATTGAATTTGACTTTAAAGTACATCACTTAATTGTGGGAAGTAATGTGTTTGAGACTGTTTAGTTTCGGTTTTCTTCATTTTTCTCATTTTATTATAAAATTGATTAAATCTTTTATAATATCTTTATCATATTGTGGAGTGCAGCAGATTCACTAATATTCTTACCACTTCAAGGTAACTATTACAATTTTTGTATTCTCTAGAGGTCTTTGTACATAGGCATGTTTTATCCTTACTATTTTTATTATACAGTGTTCAGGAGGGTTTTGGTTTTTTAGGGACTTCAAAGATATTTACTCTGGAACCTTTTTCAAAGTACTTTTTAAAATGTATGAAATTAAGAGGTGCTAATATCCTAAAGAAAAGGTAAAAAGCACCCAAAACCATGTTAAAACTAGCTTCTTATAAATACAAATTTTTAAACAAATTGGGATCATGCTGTATAGTAAGTTTTACAGTCTCTTTTTTCATCTGATATGATTTTTCCCCTTATTACAATATATATATATATTGAACATTTTAATGACTGACTTCATTGTCACTGTGAGGACATGCCATATGTGTGCCATGTACAGGGTCTAGCTCTGTAAATAGCCATTTAGGTCATTTCCTTTTTCTGCTGTTATACATAGTGGTATAGATATTCATGTTAATCATTTTTTATTTGATTATCTTCTCAAACGGTTTTCCTAGAAACAAATTACTTATTCAAATAATATAAACTGATCTTTCCAAAAAGGTTGAACTTACTCATGCAACCGGTAGCTCAGGATGAGGATGCCCTTATCACTTGCTATCATGGAACATTATTTTTTTAATCTGTTTTTTAGAAAGGTATCTTATGATTTGCTTTCTGTGGCAGCCAATGAACTCTTTCATATGCCTTTAATCATATTTTTCCCCATTTTTGTAATGTTTTAAAAATATATCTGTGTGAACATATGGTAAGATTAGCAACATTTTAGCACTTTGTTAGTTTTACAATTTTTGGTTTTGTTTATAAACTTACGGATTTTTAATAACTTTATGATTTTGGTTTTTAACATTTGACTTTTTTAGTCCAACTAAATTGATTTATATTTTGGTAAATGGTGCACAATCAGGGTTTGATTTTAGATTTTTTTTCCCTAACATATATTGAAATGTTCTTCTCTTTTCCCCATTGATTCAGACTTTATCACCATAATAAATTATTTCGAATACTAGAGTAGTTTTCTCTCCTACTGTTCTGTTCATTTCATCACTTTTTCAATTCTTCGGCCAGTTGCACATTGTTGTAGAATTCAAATTCTATTTGAATTTTTAAACCCCCCTTACACTCCTATTCCTCCCCCATTGGAGAAAGACTACAGAAGTTAAAGGATATCTGTTGCCTAGGTTTCTTCACCTCTATGATTCTTCATTCCTTAAATTTTTGAAACTACATCAAAATACGTATGATTCTGTAGGTTCCAGGTCTCTGCTGAACCCATCTGATGTTTACTTTGGAACTACAGATAGTTTATCTCTCAACACATACTACCATAATGAATAATAAACTATTCTGTGCAACTTGATATTATTGTATTTCCCACATGGAAAGTTACTTAAATAAAGACTAATATCAAACATTTAAGTTTTCTTAGAACTTCACAAAAGGTAGTCCATTAATTATTTCAAGTTTAATTAATTAAATTTTTTTTTTGTGGGATCCATTGCTGGCGGCCGGGGAACGAACCGGCGCTGCAGAGGCTGCGGGCAGCCTCGCAGCCCAGCGCTCAACTGCTGCGCCACCAGGGGAAGCCCTCAGGTTTATGCTTAACAATTACATTTTGATATGCAGGATATAAAAAAGAATCTCAAGCTATGTTTAAACGTTGCTTATTCATAACTGGCTTATTAAGTGAATACTTTCACCATCAAATGATAAGGTTTGTAGAACATGTCTTCACATTGGAGGAAGAAATTAGTATGTAATTGTTAAGTACAGATGTTTAAGAAATTTTCTAGATTAATATTCTAGAATAAAACTGGTAACATCTACATGCATTTAAATTGTGTTAAACTTGGATGTATGTAACAGGATTATGAAACTTGACATCTGTAACTGTAAGCAAAAATGACATACATCAAAAGTCCTTAAAAGATCATTTATAACATTCCATTGTTACCTATCTATCCACAAATAATGAATGAGAGCAAATTAACACTTTATTTTGTTTTTCATATTTGGTTAATTTGGTACTCTTTTTTAGTAATCAAGGAAAGTATATAATAAGGAAGCTCAAAAATATTCATAACTCATAACTCACTAACATCCCCCAGAAGTGAAACAAGAATGGTACTCAGAATAGGCTTGTAAATGTCTGGATATAACTATTTATTTTGTTTCTCTATTTACAGGTGTACCTTTATCTACACAATGGGGACCTCAAGGCTATTTCTACCCAATCCAGATTGCACAGTATGGGTTAAGTCATTACAGCAAGAATCTGACTGAGAAACCCCCTCACATCGAGGTATATGAAACAGCCGACGACAGGGACAAAAACAGCAAGCCTAATGACTGGACCGTGCCAAAAGGCTGCTTTATGGCTAGTGTAGCTGATAAGTCTAGATTCACCAATGTTAAACAGTTTATTGCTCCAGGTAAGTACTGAGTCTGCTAATTTTAAGTTGATTTATGGCACCTGAGGTGCCTTAAAATTATTTATATGGTTTAGTAAAACATATTAACAGATCTTTTATATTATGTAAAGTAACAAATATTGTTGCCCACGTAAAATCCCTAAAGAAGGAACAGCTAAAAATTCAATTTGATAAAAGAAATATTTACTGTCTAAAGAGCCAAACCATATATTGAATGTTAAGATCCAGAGTACTGCATGATATCTCCCTCCAGGCCACTGTATCCCATAAGAGTAAGGTGTCTCCATTTATTTTCATGTTTCAGTACAGAATATTTTTCTTTGATTTTGAAACTATTTTGCATTAAGATAGAATTTTTTCTTTTTTTTTTTTTTAAAGATTTATTTATGTATACAAGAACTGGGGTACAGGTCGGAGGTGTGGGGGAGGTGGTAAGCGGATTCACCAGAGACAGAGTGGGGACAGAACAGGCAGATTTACTGAAACATGCTGCTGAGGGATGAAGGTGGTGAGGCAGGAGAGGTCTGCTGTGCCATGTGGGTAGTTCCCTGGCCGAGGATCAAACTCGTGCTGCAGTGGCTGCAGATAGCTTCATAGGTTGCGTCTTAACCCCTTGCGTCACCAGTGAGACCCGAGGTAGAAATTATTCTTTATGAAGAGAGACCATCCTTCCCTTTACCTATTTTTCACCAAGAACTTTTTTTTTCCCCAAGATTTATAGCATTACCAAACAGACCTGTTTTCCATATTGAATTTTGTAAATGTACTAGATTGTCTCAAACTTCATATAAAATCATTTCATTATAAAATCATTTATAAAATCAAATTAACTTTATGCAACATTTCCCCTTTTACTATGACAGTATCATTAATTTGGATGTAATGTATTTTTCGTCACTAATCAATATCCCTGAGAATTAATGACTCCATTACTTAAAAAGAAAATGAAATAATTTTAGCACCCGGCCTTAATTCTCTTTGGGGAAATGTTGTCAAGAACAGAACACATTCCCGTCTCCCACCAACCTTGCAATGAATAAAAAGAAAGGAAAGGTGGTGAGATTTTTTTCTGTATTCTTTCTTTGTCCTTTATTGATGACTGTAATTCAGAGACCTTGAAAGCCACAATACAAATCTACTCATTCTAGATGGTCTTAAGTGGTGGATTTATGAGTGCTTAATGCAGTGCAAATAATGGGTGACCTTTAGTTTATATTCTGTGCTTAGAACTTCTTTTCTCCTATGGCATTCTGTGATATTCAGTATATAGAGCATCTTTGTTTATTGTAAAGCAACAGGCTTGGCTGGGTGATAACATACGTGGCTGTATTTAAGAATACTTAACCTGTGATACCTAACAGGTCATTGCATCAGGAAATGATTAGACTAAGTGAAAGGACATTTGGTTTTGGGTCAAACAAGGAACTTATTTTTTCACTGATTAATAGTGTTCTCTGAATTCAAGTGGAAAGCAGCAACCCTTATCTTGATCTCCTCCAGTGCTGGCAAGTGTTTTAGAACAGTCTTTTAATCTATTCTGTTTAGAGCATAGATTTCATTGTTCACCTTTGGATGTCTGGGGTAATGCAAAAGATAGATCCCCACATCCTGAGGAACCTTCATTTTAGCCCTTCATTCTACAACCAATGATTGAAGATCAAACTTACTTGCTAAAGTGATTTCAAGCTTGTGGAGGCAAGAACTCTGTGTTACTCTGTTAGTGGGGCACAGCTGCTCAGAGTTGGAACTTCCCATTGGAGGAGGTGTGCTAGGTGGAAAAGGGTGCTTGTTTTATTATTCTGTGTATGCTTGGAGTTGCATTCAATACAAGTATTTGATGGGGAGGGAGTTGGAGTTACATGGGAGTTGATCAGAGCAGAAGGAAATCAGAGGCAAGACATCTATGTGGGGCATAGGTACAAGTACTGTGTTTATCATAGGCTGTGATTTTCATTCTTTATTAAAATACAGATACCTTACTAAATTAAAACTAAGCATATTTCAGACCATATTAGCTCAGTTCTTCATAGTGTGAATGATGGGCTCTTGTTATGTGATCGCTTTAATTATTAAGAATTGTACATATGGAGCAAACAAAGATGTTTGCCGTGGTTCAAACTACTGTTGTCCTGTCGTCAATGGAACATTTTTTAATGTCCAGAAAGAATAGTTTCAGCTTTTCTGAAAAGTTCAGGAACAGCCTAAGACTTCACAGTGTTTTTGAATTGTCCTATTTCAAATTTTTCTTTGAATTTTAAGTATTCACTTTTATCAAAATAGCCACTGTGGGAACAACTTGATTCAAATGAGCATCTCAACTTCTGGCATTGAGAAATGCCTCTGTGTTCTTATCTAAATACTCTCAGTGTTCATCCTGGGCTCCCCAGCAAGCTTGCCTTTCTTTCATAGATGGGGCTGCCATTCCTAGAGGACTCAAGTGTTGGGGTTATAAAAGAAATAGACTTTTAGGTCTGCTCAGTGAAGGAGGCAGTGCCTTGGGTCCTGAGACTTTCTTCTGTGAATGAAAAAGGTCTATTTAGTTGGTATTTAGAGATGCTTCTGTAGACTAAAAGTCCAAGATCAAGTTACCAGCATGGTAGGTGAGAGATCTTTTCTGGTCACAGATTTCTCCTTGTATTTTCACATGGCAGAAGGGGCTTGGGAGATAGGGTTTTTGAGAGGTTGTGGACCTCATGGGAGGTAAATTCAGAGAATCACTGTTGAGAAAAAATTGAGACCTATACATAAAAGCATAGGTGTAAATAAGATAAGACTGAAGGACCAGAAGCTGAATGCTGTTGCCTTTTACTTTCTGACCATGATTTTTTTCCCTGAAAGGAAGTAAAATCATTTATTTTTTATAAAGCAATTTTAGTTTTTTTTTCCTGTTTATCTTTTTTTTTTTTTTAAAGATTTATTTATTTATTTATGCAAGCACTGGGTACAGTCAGAAGCGTGGGAGGGTGAGAGAATTCACCAGAGTCAGAGAGGAGAGCAGAGCAGGCAGACCGACGAAATACACTGCTGAGGGGAGCAGCGGGCTGCAGGAGAGGTCTGTGCGCCATGTGGGACCCTCCTCCAGTGGCCGGGGAGCAGCCTGGGATCGAACCGGTGCTGCAGAGGCTGCTGGCAGCTTCGCAACCCAGCGCTCAACTGCTGCGCCACCGGGGAGGCCCAGGAAGTAAAATCATTTAGAAGAAAGAACCATAACATTGATCTATAGCATGTTGGACATTGTTTTGTTCCTTTTCCTAATTTTAAAATTGAATGAATTAAAACCTTATACCCTGTCCTGCCCTATTAATTTGTCTTTCCTTTCCCCCAAGCATTGTCTTCATTTCCATGACTTCACTTTCCCCTTTCTTCAGCCATTCTTTGTCAGACTTCTTGTGAGCTTCTCTTCTTCTTCTTCTACCTGACCCTTACCTCTCTACCTGACCCTCTCAGAGTTCCTCCAGGTTCTGAAGAAGGCCTCTCCTCACTCCACACACTAAACCTGTTGATTAAGTAAATGAATGTAAATAATTTGTACTGCATGTGAAAACATTTATTTGAAGATCATTCTTAAATGTTTTGTCATCCTCTGTTGTCTAATGTGGTACGTGTGGTTCATGTGCCACATATACCAAAAATAGACCCCTGTAGTGACTCCTGGGAATAGTGGCTCAGAGAGAAGAGTCATGGATATCAGATAAAAGGAAATGCAGGGGTTTCTACTAGTAGATATAAAGCAGGAGTTCATATAGCACAGGACCTCCAGCAGAGCTCAGAACCTTGCCTGGTATATTTCCAAAGTTATATTTCTCATAATTCCTGCTCTTCCAGCTTCAGATTATTGTAAGGATTGGGGGAGATAATACATATAAATGTGTTTTGAAAAAATAAGTTCTGTAAAGTCACATTCCCTTTGCTACCATTTAGATCATTCTGAATGATGTTGACAGGTTATTTAACCTCTCCATATAGCTATAAAGTGGGAATTAAAAGACCAATTTCATAAGATTGGCATGAAGACTATGATTGTTAGTTGATTGATTTAAATTGGAGAGCGTGACTTCTGTCACTCTCCTGCATGGCTCAGTAACCCCCTCTGGTGGTGTTGGTGTTTTAATAGTGATGACAATTAATAGTGACTTTTGAAAAGGTTGTATCCTATGACATCATTTATTACGGCGTTCTTTGAAATAATTTGTTATATTGAGACATAAGTTAATTGATCGAACCATATTGTTGAATTTGTGTATATTAAATGAAAATTAAAATGGAATTCTAGAAAGATAATGGATCCTTCTTTAGCTTCCTCCCATTTGGACTTCTAAAGATGGGTGGTTACTCATTTGGTGAGAATGGATGCCATAGTGAGTAATATTGTCTGATTAATGAGGCATTGCCCTAAAATGAAAACATAAGTAGCACACAAATAGTAGTTTGCCCTGATGAATATAATATAAACTTAAGTGATTCATAAGTCAATGCAGACTCCTACTCTGTTTCAGGGGTTGTACTAAGCACCAGATTCCATCTTACTATAGGTGTAGAAAAATACTAAGAGAGAGGGCCTCCCCTGGTGGTGCAGGCAGTTGAGCACAGTGCTGTGAAGCTGTCTGCAGCCTCTGAAGCACTAGTTGGATCCCAGCCAGCCGGTGAGGGTCCCACATGGCGCGGCAGACCCCTCCTGTCTCTCCCACTGCTCCCCTCAGCAGTATATTTTGTCAGTCTGCCTGTCCTTTTCCCTGCTCTGTCTCTGGTGAATCCTCTCACCCTTCCGTGCATCTAGCCTATACCCTGGTTCTTGTATAAATAAATAAATAAATCTGTAAAAAAAAAAAATGCTAAGAGAAATATTGCATGTTGACTTTTTCCAGTTAAAATAGACTTTTATAGAATTAGATAGAAGTAAACTTATGAAATCACTTTTTTCACAGTCACTTAAAGCTTCATTTAATGCAGAAATCTATCAGTGTTATCATTCTTAATATAATTTCCATAATCATCCGTTCCATCAGGTGAAGTCATTGAGAACCTTGGGTCAGCTGTATCCACACTGGTAGAGTCCCAGACAGCTCAGCCTGCTAATTCTCCCAGTTCATCAGCTGTAGGTGCTGTCATCCGTTCTTATTTCCAATCTTTACTCCACACTAGAGATTTCGTCACAGACTCCTCAAAGCAGATCTGACCCCATGGGTATTTTTAAGAGACAATACTCATGAGGATGCCATGTCTGATACCAGTTCTTATGTTCTCTGGACTTGGGTGTCCAGGGATCCTGGCTCTGCCACTGTAACGTTTTACAGTTTTTTGAAGTCTCTGTATCTTCATCTCTAAAATCTCTCATAATTCCTGCTCTGTCAGGAATTTATTATAACAATGAAGTGAGATAATACATATGAATGTGTTTTGAAAATTTAAGTTCTATAAATATCAACATATTCATATTTGCCTTTAATAGGGTTAAACTTTGCACTACATGTATTGTTGTTGTTCTTGCTACTATTCTAATATTTTCAGTTTCGTTTCTTCATAGATCTAGACCAGTAGATTCAGGAAGTTATCACTCTGGGACTCAGCCATCACTGTCCTATAGATATGCCAGAGAAAGTTCCTATTTGATAATTTGCCAAATAAAACAGTTTTTACTCATACTTCTCTGAAGCCAGTGGTTAAAGAATAATAATAATCATTGTCATTTATTGCTGTGTTCAAACACTGTATTTTTTCTTAGTTCTCACAAATTACAAATTACCCTGCAAAGTAACATTGACTTTATTTAATGTGTAAAAAAGCTGAGGCAGACAGAAGTATATCTTGTTGAATATCTTAAATTTGTAAGTGGTAGTATAAGAATTCAGTGTTCTGTTTTAACTCTAAGGCTTTTACATTTTCCTCTACCTTCCCTGATGTCCCTCACTTTTTGTTGAATTCATGAGCTTATTGTTTAATTTTATACAGGATTTCAGTGAATATGCAAAAGCAGACATATCACTGTGAATATCAATGAAGAGCATATATTATATGGCCAGTCAGACCTCCTGGGATCAGCTCTTTGTGCCTTAGGCCAGTCATTTGACTTCACTGTCTTAGCTCCTCCTTTGTAAAATGAGAATAATAATAGTACTACTCTTGTAATTGTTATGAGGATTAAATGAGTTAATGTGTTTTAACACTTAGAACATAGTAAATACTTTCCAGAGTTAGTTAAATAAAAATTTTGAATTCATGAATAACCATTCTTTCCTTCTAGCCTCTCTCTTGGAAACTAGTCTTGGAAACTAAACTTTTTTCCTTTTGCAGGACAGGTATACTGGAACAGTCAACGATTATTGATCAGTCTGCATTTGATTTAGAGAAGACATTCTATTATTTGCTTATGTTAATTTAGTAAAATAAATAATAATAATCTGCACATAAAATATTGAAATTTAACTTTGTATGGTCAGTGGTTGTAAGGCTGCATTGTGATTACCTTTTAAATGCAAAGGGCTTTTATTCTAACCTGTCTTTATATACTTCCCCCTACAGAAACCAGTGAGGGTGTATCCTTGCAACTGGGGAACACAAAAGATTTTATTATTTCATTTGACCTCAAGTTCTTGACAAATGGAAGTGTGTCTGTGGTTCTTGAGACCACAGAAAAGAATCAGCTCTTCACTGTACATTATGTCTCAAATACCCAGCTAATTGCTTTTAAAGAAAGAGACATATACTACGGCATCGGGCCCAGAACTTCATGGAGCACAGTTACCAGGGACCTGGTCACTGACCTCAGGAAAGGAGTGGGTCTTTCCAACACAAAAGCTGTGAAGCCAACCAAAATAATGCCCAAGAAGGTGGTTAGGTTGATTGCAAAAGGGAAGGGATTCCTTGACAACATTACCATCTCTACCACTGCCCACATGGCTGCGTTCTTCGCTGCCAGTGATTGGCTGGTCAGGAACCAGGATGAGAAAGGCGGCTGGCCAATTATGGTGACCCGAAAGTTAGGGGAAGGGTTCAGGTCTTTAGAGCCAGGGTGGTACTCTGCCATGGCCCAAGGGCAAGCCATTTCTACATTAGTCAGGGCCTATCTGTTAACAAAAGACCATGTATTCCTCAATTCAGCTTTAAGGGCAACAGCCCCTTACAAGTTTCTGTCGGAGCAGCATGGAGTTAAAGCTGTGTTTATGAATAAACATGACTGGTACGAAGAATATCCAACCACACCTAGCTCTTTTGTTTTAAATGGCTTTATGTATTCTTTAATTGGGCTATATGACTTAAAAGAAACTGCAGGGGAAAAACTCGGGAAAGAAGCGAGGTCTTTGTATGAGCGTGGCATGGACTCTCTTAAAGCCATGCTCCCCTTGTACGACACTGGCTCAGGAACCATCTATGACCTCCGTCACTTCATGCTTGGGATCGCCCCCAACCTGGCCCGCTGGGACTATCACACCACCCACATCAATCAGCTGCAGCTACTCAGCACCATTGATGATTCTCCGATCTTCAAAGAGTTTGTCAAGAGGTGGAAAAGCTACCTTAAAGGCAGCAGGGCAAAGCACAACTAGGGCTCATAACCAAAATCATATTTCAGCCTCTGCTGTACACAAAAACTACGGGCTCTATCTCAGCAGAGCATTGGCACGTTTTAAAAGGTCATACACTAGGTTTTTGTGGGTTACGTGGAGTGTCAGTGATCCTTAAAACCAGTCTTCTGAGATAATTGCATTCCGTGGGTTGGGTGTTTAGAAATGTTGGTGGCATTTAGAACAGAAATGTGTTTAGTCAATAGGCTGAACAAAGGTGTTTAACTTTGTCTTGCTATCACCCTATGCAGTTCCACAGATAGTTCCTCTCTGTTTGGGAAAGATAATGGTAAGTAGCTATCGCTGGCCAACTGTCTAGCACTTACCTGAAAACTTAGTATGGGGTTCTTTTAAAATGTGATTATTTATATTTATGTTGAAAGCAGACTTTTTAAAAAAATGATGTGCTGTAATACAGTAAATATGTACTTGTAGCCTGAATAGTGGACTGTGTGCAACTTTTTTAAATGATGTTTCTTTTCTATAGATTCATTTCTTGGGGGCATATGGGCATTTGTTCAATTTGTTATATATGGAAAATATTTTGAATTTATGGTTTTCTTGAAATATGTAAATTAAGAACACACCAGTGTTCAGGCTTCACAGTTATATGATGTAAGCACAACTAAAATGAAACTTGTTGACTGCACAAAAAATTACAGAAATGTTGTTTTATGAAACTTGATCTACAATCAGTAAAGTTTTGATAATCAGTCGGTCCTTCCCCATCCCCATTATGATGGTTTCTTTTTTGTCACTATCTAGAATTTTGTGTTTCATTTCAGACGATACAAGAGTCTTTGGGGAGAGAGGCATGGTGGTGGTGACCTTTTTTTTGGACATTACTGGGAAATTGAATTATAAACCTAAACTGGGAAGGAGCTAGTGATTTTCCTAAGTCCAACATCATTGCCCTTATGGGGTCGCCCCGCCATAAGGAAACATACTAGATGAAATATTAGTATAAGAATGAGAGCAGGATTTTTTCCTGTTTAGGTCATTCTTCATCATCAAACCATTGACTCTGCACATCATTGTTTTTTCTTTGCAATTTTTAGATTATTTCAATTATTAGATAGAAGGATGCTACTACATTTGCAATCAGACCTTTATTTGGGTTTTATGTCCCACCTCCCATGAATAGATTCCATAGCCCTCTGACCGTGGGCAGTGTCTGCTGTAGCACATCAGACATTAGGTAAAAAACCGAGTTTTAGTATGACAGTACAGTAAATGTAAACTGTAACTTCTACAGAATGGAAATATGAGACCCCCATGCTTTCAGGGCACTGAGTCTGACAAGTACAGTGCAGTTTGTCTATGACCCACTGTCAGTGTACATCGGGAACCAGGTGGCAACCTGCCTCCCATACTATAGATCTTAAGTGAACTCAGCCTAGCAACACTACATAGAAATCAGAAAATGTATACATGTATGCATATGATATAATCTATATATTAGTGGCAAAGGGGGCAGAAGAACTGTAACTACACTGAGAGTAAGATTAAGCTGGTCATAGAAAGGTAAGCTTAAACCCCCAACTTATGTGATCACTGTGTTTTGCCTACAACAAAACAGTTGTGGGCTATTTTATTTCCCCCTGGCTTTGGACCTTTGTATTTCTTATACATTACCTGTCTCAACAAGAATATCTGGATAACTTCGTATTTATTTTCAATGCCAATGTTCAAAACCAGCCTTTTTCCAGTCTGGGAACCCTTTCTATCTTCATCATATTTGTTATTATTTAGATCAGTCCAGACGTCTGCCTCATGTTTGCATACTGGTACTTAAGATTTTAAGAGAGTCAAGGAAAATAGTTTGGTACTGCTTCTGTGACAAATATCAATCGGTGCCTTAACAATGTGACTATCCTTTTCCACTAAAAAAATGAGACATTTTGATCCAGAAATGGCATTGCTATTTCATTGCTGTTGATTTCACACTGCCTTCCACATTGTAACAACAACGTGGTTTTTCTTGTGATCCCAGAATTTTCTAAGAGGGTGAGTTGAGCAACTGTCAGTACAAATCAGTGGTTCTCAAACTTTAGGTTGCCTCGAATACCCTGGACGATTATTAAACTACAGATCCCAGATTTTTAGCAAATCTGCCTGTGAAGCATGACCCTCTGCGTTTATAACAAGCATTCAGGTGATTTCGATGCAGGTGATCTGGGGGCATATCTGGTAGAACACTGCCCAAGACCAACCATTGCATTTTTGTTCCTAAACACCTGTGATGTTTTCTAGGGGTTTAAATCATCTGAAATGTTTACTTATCCTGAGCTTAGAATGGGGAAGGTATTTTAAAGTTTTGTTTTTGGTCTTTATTCTTTGTTTCAAGATTATGAGGATTAGTTTTTTAAACACTTATCTGGTGTTGGCTTTGATATTAAGTTAAATCTATTGCCACTTCAGTTGTAAAAACCAGCCAAAAGTTTCCAGATGAAGGTCAAATTTGACCCTTTAGGAGTTATTGTACATAAAGGCTTCATCCAAAAACCATCCAGTGTACGTACGCAGATACAAAGTGACACACAAGCACAACTCTCCAGATGTGGCAGTCCTTTTTCTTTGTCTGTACAAAGTTTCACTGAAAGCTGCTATTTTCATCCTCGTAATTGTTTTTCTTGTTTCCTCTCCATCGTACATGTGGATTCTATACCATGTGTTAAATATGCAATAAAGTGTTTACTGGATGCCCTTCTGAAGGGTAGTCCTTTGTAAAACTGTACAGACTTTGCAGTTGAAGCACAATGTGCACATGTTAGTTTTATATACAGCAAAACTTGATTTTTTGCAGATGGAAAGGTATTTTGTTTCTATACAAAGTAAATGGATTGTTTGTGCTTAATGTAAAGCTGCTTTATAAAATTGTAAAATAAAGTTTTTATCGTAAAAGACCTATATCTGGGTTATTCTCTTTCTTTAATTATTCTAAGATTTGAGCCCAGCAAGCAGACCAGCATTTCCCGTTCAGCCTGTGACAATTACTCAGGCAACAAATGTGCACTAAAGTTGCGTTAGACCTTTTAAGACAAAATGGGGGCAAGTGTATCATATGAGCCTCAGCCTGAAGGAGGTTCAGCTTAGTAGGGGCACACAATGTCCACAAAACAATTTCAGAAAAGCAAAATGCCAAACTGGTCAGTCAGGAAAGATATGGAGGAGACAGCTAAAGTGGGGGTTTCAGGTCTGGGTACACAGCCAAAGAGGAGGGAGTAAAAACCAGGTGCCCTGCCGGCTGTGAGGATGTCTTTTCCCACGCTGCCTCAGGCTAGTAAGCCATTTTTGCCTGATTTTGATTTATTTGAAAATTTCTCTTTTTTCTATGTTATAGCTTCTCCAGAACAATAAATATTAATCTTTCTCCTGCCTCCACTCCCTTTTTGGAGAGTAGTGATTTAGGCTCCTAAATACGTTTACGAAGAGAGACCAGTTCTGTGTGCACATTGTTTTTTACATTAGAAATAGTCTGCACCATCTGTATGATGGAATTCCAACTGATCACCAACCAGCTTTTTCCACCTGATGGTGCACATATTTTGACAGGCTGCGAGTCAACACCAGCATCTCTCCCTTCATTATCCTCCGTTGGGAAACAGGTTACAAGCGTTCTTGGTCTGGATGAAGTCTTGGCTTGCTCGTGCTTTGATTTTGCTATTTGTAGCCTAACTCTTACTACGCGTTGGCCATTCTGCTTTAGCACGCTTAATGCCAACGTTTGTTTCCCCATTGCCTTTAGTAGGAGAAAGACCCCCCCAGGCTGTCGAGGGCTTCATTGTGGCGTGATCTCTCCTCTCTGAGAATACCTCCTGGTCTGCACAGGGCCCACTGTGGGCCATGTGACTGTCTCCTCTCGCATCTCTGTTAGCCCCTGATGCAAGCTGAACCAATCAGTCTCTTCCACAGGAATCAGAAATTGGGATGGATAAAAAAATCTAAAGCAGATTCACAGTGAGAAGCAGAGCTGAAACAGTCTTGACAATGCTCTAGGTCCCCGATCCAATGCATTACTGAGACATCTGGACCTCTGTATTAAATTACAAAGTTTGTCATAATAACAAAATGCCACAGATTGTGGTGGTTTAAACAACAGAAAATTATCACAGTTCTGGAAGCTAACCAGACAAAATCAAGGTGTCTGTTAGAATGTTTGTTTCCTTCTGAGGCCACTTTCCTTGGCTTACAGGCTGCCACCTCCCTCTGTGTCCTCACGTGGTCGTCCCTCTGTGTGCTGTCCTAATCTCCTGTGAGAACACCAGTCATATTGAACTTGGGCCCATTCTTATGACCTCCTTTTACCTCAATTACCTCTTCAAAGGTCCTGTTTCCAAGTGCAGTCACAGTGAGAGGTCCTAGGGGTAATTAGGACTTCAGTACATCTTTAAGGGGCACAGTTGAGCCTATAACAACAACTCGACTAAAATGAACAGAAATTGAACTAGCCAGGAGTCCATTTAATTTGCTGATAACCGGTGAAGGCTTAAACTCAGATCTTTGGGGAACATTAGATGGCAGAAATCTAGCTGTGGGACTCTAAAATCTGATTCTGCCATTGTAGCAAAGAACATATTCCTTCATGGGGGCTTCAGTTGCCTCATAATACAGACCAATAATAGAGAACTAATTGATTTTATTATTTTTAATAAACAAGAAGTAACCACTAAACAGTGGTGTGCAATAAATATACATATATATATTTTAAATATGCATACAAAAACTGGGGTTGTAGGTCAGAGGTGTGGGGTTGGGGGCGGGTGAGAGGATTCACCAGAGACAGAGTGGGGAGCAGAACAGGCAGATCTACTGAAATACACTGCTGAGGAGAGCAGTAGGTGAGACAGGAGAGGTCTGCTGCGCCATGTGGGTAGTTCCCTGGCCTGGGATCGAACTCATGCTGCAGTGGCTGGTGATAGCTTCATAATGCTGAGACTTTACCCCATGCACCACCGGGGATGCCCCAAGGTGTATAACATATATTGATAACCAACATCAGCTGCTAGATTTTTATTCCTGCCCATGTGTTACTTGCATTAGCCCATTCTGAATATAGAAGAACTCTTAAGGTGCTGTGGATAAAAGTACAGATAGGGTATATCAAAATGCATATTAATGAGATTTTGTTTAATGGCAGCATTTTAAAATTGCAAGTCTGTGCTGGAACTAAAAAGTTAACAGAATAGTTAACAATAGATAGATAGGGATAAAGAAAAATTTTCATTATACTGACTCACTGATGATGTAAACTTGAAAGTGGACATAAATTTAAACAAATTGGTGATGAATTCAAAAGTTTGCTGCTCATTTTGGTGAAAAAAGACAGCACCTGGCAACTTGACTGGTAACCTGTGAACGTGTGCAACATTTCCTGACGCCTAAGCTGCGGCAACCCTGTATAATTTTGCTAATCCTTTTCCTGGAGTAGAAGAATTTTTTGGAAATGACAGGACTGCTAAGCAAACCATTGAGGAGCAGTAGCAAAGAGGACAGCAAAAGGGGAAGAAGAGAATCCTGTGAGAATCTAAAATGGAGCAGCCCACTCACTGATGGGTAATACACAATTTTGCCCTGTTCTCATCAACATCTGGTGAAATCACCGAGACAAGAGGGTTGCTCCATTCAGTTTAGAAAATCAAGTAAAGAGCGTTCATCTCTTTGTAAACTAAACAAGGCAGTAAGCCCCTGAAGTGGCTCGGGGACAGTGGGTCTTCGCAAAAGTGTGATTTTAAATCAGTGCCTGTTGTTGGCTTTTCTAATTAACCCCGGTGAAGTTAAATCTCTGCAATTGAGCTGAATATTGAGTAAAAGACCCCCAAGCCCCATCAGTGACGTGACAAGGTAATCTACGTGTCTTCTCAACTCCTCCAGGCCACAAAGAGGCCTATCTCCACCTGGAAATAACACCAGATGAAATGGCCTTGGCAACTTCTTGTAAGCTTGAATAAGTATCTAGATTTCTCAGCGTCTGGATGCAACCAGCTGTGGCTTGGATTGGTGTTTCTTGACACTGCTTATAGGAATAGGGAGAGGAAGCCAGCCCCTTGTAGGTGCTCTTCAAACTAGATCTTATTCACAGCTCTCTGACTCTCGTGGTGGATGAGAAAGCCTAACTCAGCTGAAGTAACTTGCTAGGCACCATGCCAAGCCTTTCCCCTTGAGCAGATGCACTGCCTGCCATGACAGCAGAGGTGAGAAGATTCCCGGCTGCGACCCAGCCTGGATGCTCTTCCCCTGGTGGGCTGCAGGTAGCCTGCCCACCTCAAAGCCCAAGGCCAAGAAATGGCGGTGATGCTAACAGCCATTACAGCCTCATGCCCACAGTAGGTTAGCTCCAGCAAAAGAACTCCACCTGTGTTCTTTCGAATTCTTTTGACAATCTTGGGAGGAAGTTGTAGGGTAAGTAAAGTATCAGGTCTTCTGCCCTCCCACCGTTAGGATAGATGATGGATCCTTGCGGTCCTGAATGCATGCCTGATGGCGGGCACCTGGAGTAGGGTGTGGGCATGCGTAAGTGGGTACACCTGGGCTGAGAGACTGAGACTATAAGGGCGGCTTCACGAGGACGCCAAGAGAACCACGAGAAGAAAAGAAGCAGAGAGCAGAACCGCGAGGGCAGCTGAGAACAAGGCCACTGGAGAACGCCGGAGAGCCCAGATAGAGTGAAGACTTGCCGGGGGCTGGGAGGCCTCCTAGCCCCCAGCACCCCTGCTGCTGTGTACCTGGTAAATCCCAATAAAAGCCCGAAAAGCCACCAAGGACTCCAGGACTCTCCTCCTTCACCCATCTGCTGGAATCAGAAAACCTGCACGGTCCCTTCCTGCCTTTACAAAGTATTTTGTGAACTCTACAGATGAGAAAACAAACAAGGAGAAGTTAACAGCTTGCCAGAGGTCATTGAGTTAGTTGATAATCCAACATCTGCAACCCAGGTAAGTGTGAGCCCAGACACACTGAACCATCGTCCCCACGAGAGAACTCTGAGCTGCTATCTCAGACCTCCCCTGAGGTCTGAGGGCCCCCTCACAGTGTGCTCAGCTATGGATGCAGACAGCCCCACTGTGCCCCCTCATGTGCCAGGTGAGCTTACACTGTTTCACCTGTGAACTCTAGCCGAGCTGCCGAAATCGGTACTTATTCCACGAAATGATTAGAAACGCCCAGAAATAGGTGGTTTCTAAGCAATCAAGTCTCCTTATGTGCCTCCATTTCTTTAGCTTCCTGCATCAGTTGTTGGCCAGGTTTGGGACCACCCATCGTTGCCCCCCAGCCCCCTCTGCCTGCTAAGGATGCAAGCCTGGAAATCACAGATTCAGGAGGTATGCCCATTTTTCATTCTTTGCTATAAAAACAAAGCATGTTTTAAATGTTATAAATTCCAAATTAGGATTTGAATTGAGATTTTAAAGAACCTTCCTCCATTGAACCCTGAAGAACCCCCTTATTATTTGTTTGTCCTGGGGGTGTTAGGTGCCAGCAGGGCTCAGAGCAGGTTTTCTATGATCTGTACTGACAGGAGGAGGCTGGGTCCTGGAGCCTGCAGTGGCTTTTCAGGCTTTTAATGATCTTTCTACACCATTTGTAGTGAGGCGACCAGGTGCAGAAAGGCAGGGCGGCCTGGGGCCGGGAGACTGGCAGGCCTCCCAGCCGTGGGAATCTTTACTCTTTCTGGGCCCTCTGGCTTGTCTCGTGGTCTCCCCGCTGATCTCTACTGCACTCCTCTGCCATCCTCTGCTGTCTTGCTCTGTTCTCTCTCTGCTGTGTCGCGGCCCTTAAGTGCTCAGCCTCCAGGCTCAGGTGCTCCCACTTACGCACACCCACAGCACACTCTGGGTGCCGCCATCAGGCAGGCGTGTAAGACCGCAGGCGTCAATCATTGACGCTAATGGCGGGAGGGTGGAAAAAACCTGATCGCTTCCATTTACCCTTTGAAAGGGTGTTCTTGGAGACCAGGGCAATGGGCACCTCCTTTTATAGAGAAGCAGAGGCTGGGGGTGAGGGGACTCTGGCCAGTGTACTGGTGGCTGCAGCTGAGCTGGGCCTACCCCGAAGTCACTGCATTATGCTGCCTTCACATCAGCTATGGAGAATGAAGCGGGGAGCCCCCAGCCAGGGCGCTGCCCGGTGAGGCCCTGATCAGGCCTCTGTCCTCCAGGCTTAGCGTAAAAGAAGTGTCCCTCCTGACTCTCTGGCGTTTCTCCATCACCTCACATCTAAGTTCTCAGCCAGGTGCCAGGAGGAAGTGATCTCAAGGGCTGTGGGCAGGTTCGTGTTACCTTGTTTAAAGCTGGGTTTTCTAAAGAAAACACAGGTCAAGGGGGAAATTGCCTTAGTGTTAACTGACATAAAGCTCGAGGCCCCTGGGGCGCGTGGTGCGGAGTGCCTGCGCTTTCCCATGCAGTGAGAATGTGATTCTTGGAGGACATGAATTCTGGTGCTGCTTAGCTATTAAAATCAGCCCACAATCTTTTTAGCCTTTGTTGCTGAATAAAGTGATTTTTTTAAACCTTCAAAAACAAAAATTACTGTCTTAGGTGCCAGTCACGTGATAGACTTTTAAGAAAGGTAGCTTAATTTTGTTCACAAGGAAAACCCAAGCAGAGTCTTGCACCATGGAGTGGCCCCCCAGCCCTTTGTCTGCATGAGCCCCAAGAAGGCCTGTGTCCCTGTGGGGACAGGTGGAGCGGCTACTGACCGGCTCCTGAGGAACAAGCTACCTGCCCCCCACACCTCCAGGCCGGCGTGGGGAGTGGGAGCCTAGGCATGTGCCCTGGCAGAGGGAGGCCAGCCCGAGATGGGCTGAGTTAGTTAGGGCCCATTGTGCAGCTGACTGTGGGGGGTGGATTATGGGAATCAAGAACAGCTCCTAGGTGTGGGGGCTGAGGGCAGCAGGCTGAGCTGGGAGGTCTGAATGTTCTCATGGGGGCTTCTAAGGACAGGGTCCCTCTGGGAAGTGAGAGTCTTTCCCAAGGGCATAAGACGGTATGAGGAAGAAGGGGGGGTGTGGTGTGGGGTGTGTGTGTGTGTGTGTGTGTGTGTTCAGAAACCACTTTATACACCAATGGGATTTCATTCCTGCCCCCCTGCAATCGGATGTCCACATCACCAGCAGAGACATTGTTTAGAACAAATATCAGATGCTTAAAATTCTCCAATGCTTCCCAACCCCCCAAAACAGAATCCAAATTCCTCACCAGGCCTGGAGACCTTGGGGAGATGTGCCACCACTTGGCCCTCATTCTTGGCCTCTCCCCTATTACTCCCTGAGCTCCGCGCCAAGGGCCTCTGGGACTGTCAAGTGTCAGGCCAAGCCTTGCACTGCCTTTCCTGCTGCCTGGTACTCACTCCTTTTTTTCATGGGCCGGCTTCTCACCTATCACCCCCTTCTCACCTGTCACCCCCAATGGCAGCTCCTTAGAATCTTCTCTAACCACCCAGTTAAGGGATACCCATGGTCACAGCACCTTGCTTGCTTTCTATGTTGGTGTAGCCCTCATCACCGACAAAAGTGACCTTTTCACGTGTGGGGTTATGTCTGTGCTGTCTTCCTCCCACACTGCGGTGCCACCCCCCTCCCCCCACCCCCAGAGAGTGGGGCCTTGTCTCCCTGGTGGCCACCTTGCTCCTAGCATGGAGCCTGGACCATGGAATGAACCCCGTAAATAGATGGTGAGCTGGGCTGGGGTGAAAGGGGGGTAAGGTTTGAATGAATGAATAAATGCTTCAAAGAGAGCAGACCTGAGAGCCAGCTTCTCCTCACCACGCGACAGTCCTGTATCCCCCTGGCATCAGCAGCCGCTGGGAGCTGGCTGGAAATGAAGACTCTCAGGCTCCATCCCAAACCTACAAAATTAGAGTCTGCGTCTTGGTCAGTCCCCAGGTAACGGACACGCACGTGAAAGTTTCAGAAGCACTTGCTGGGCGCTGATTCGCAGGCCTGCCCGCTCGCTGCAGTCACCTGCGGAGTTAGCTGCACTGCACACTGGCGCCTGCCCTGGTGATACCCGTCGCTTCTGTTCCTGGTGTAGCCTGGATCACCCGGCTGATTGTAAACGCAGCTATGGTTGAAAACTAGTTGGTTTAGCAGCTTTTTTTGTTGCACACAGACAGCAAAGTTCAAGAAATGGACGGCAAGCCTTGATGGGGACGGGGAGGGAAGGGCTGTGCAAGGGCAGCACACTCAGTCACCCACAGTGGTGGTGCCTGGGCGCTCTCCTTGGGGTCCTCCGGGCCTTGCTTTCTTCCTGCCTTGAGCTCTCTGAAGGGAGAGCTGTGTCTCCCCCGTAAGACTGGGGCATCATTCAGGGTAAGGACTCAATCCGAACCACACAAGGATCTTCCCATTTTCCCCATTCCCCCCAAAACCAACCAGTTCTCAGCAAGGAACCAGCAAGGGAGGTGTGACCCGTGTTTGTGAGCAAGGACACACACACTGTGCAGCCCGCCCGCCCCTGGGAAATCCAGAGCCCCATCCAAGCTTGGTGGGCTCAGCAGAGCCTCTGGACAAAAGTTGTAGGGAAGAGGGCTCACAGAAAATAGGTCAGGGAAATCACAGCCAGGGGCCGCCTTCACTGGAAAGGGGAGTATTAACCCACACAGGAATCACCCAGCAGGCACGCCCCCGTGTCCTTAGGTCTTGAAGAGAAACACCAGTTCTCTGTTGAAGAAAGGGGCCTTGAGTCTGAGGCTAGGACTCCTGCCTTCCCTCAAGCCCCACCCCACAAAATTGTCCTCAAAGTTATCCTTCCCCATCCCTTGCCCCCAGCAAGCTACCCTGAAATCAGACACTCAGCCCTTGGGCTATTCCAGTGAAAATACTGACTAAATAAAATTTGTTTAAAGGCAGAGTCCCCAAAAAAAAAAAAAAAATGGTTTGGCCTTTTATCATTCTCATTAAAAGAATATCTGGCAAGTCAAAAAAAATGCTGACTAAACAGTAAGCTGTTTTCATAATCTGCACTTTGGTGTACTTAGCATGACCAGATCTGTCTGTGGGAGTGGTTTGCAGGGTAGGGGCAGACCAGCAGGCCCTGAGGCCAGGGAGGAGGAGGGGGAGGGAGACCCCTGTCCTCCGAGCTGCAATCCTTGCCACCCTGGTTCTCAGTCCTCCAAAGTGTCATCTTGGTGGGTGGTGGAAGGAAGTCTTCCTCTCTGGTTCAGGAAGTTGCTCACTTAGCCACAGTGCCTGCCTGTGCTCTAAGCAAATCTCACAGTGTTGATATGTTTGATTGCTAATGGAATTAAGCTACACTGAGAGGACAAGAAGAGCAGACCTCTAGCCTGTGTCTCGCCCTTCTGATTTCAGTTTCTCCAGGGCTCTGCAGAGACCCCCTGCTCCACCAAATGAGGGTCTTTCAGGGAGAAGGGGAGATCCTTTGGAGAACTCTAGGAAAGGCAGGGATTCTCCCACCAGAAAAATGCCCAGAGAATTTTAGATATATCTCAGGTCTCATGGTTTCTGTCTGCAATTGCCAGAACTCCAGATGCCCTGAATTTCATCCAAAGAGCTGGAGCAGGTCCATGAACCTAAAGTGAAATGTCACCATGGCTTTTGTATTTGAAAATATAAACTCACAAGTCTTCAGAAACCTGGCAAGTAAAGTATTATAAATGAATACTAAGGTCAGTGGATAATAAGGAATGGTGGGGACTGTGGCTAAAATGAAGTGTTTAAATTCATTTCAAAAATTCAGTAATGATGGATCAAACAAAATGCATCTTTAATTTTTTTTAAGATTAATTCATTTATGCATAGAAGAACTGGGGTGTAGGCCAGAGGTGCAAGAGGTGAGAGGACTCAGAGATAGAGTGGGCAGCAGAACAGGCAGATTTACTGGGATACACTGCTGAGGGGAGCAGCAGGGAAGACAGGAGAGGTCTGCCGTCCCATATCTGGATTAGCTCCCTGTTTGGGGATTGAACTCAGGCCACAGCGGTGATAGCACTGAGACTTAGCCCCTATACCACTAGGGAGGCCCCCATCTTTACATTTAACTTATGGGTAACTGAGATTGTCTTAGGATTCGATAAATATTTATACCTACCCCCTCACCCTCCAATTGATAATGAAATGTACCTATTATCTAATCCTGGTCATTCCTATTGGGGCATAAACCTGTTTCTCCTCACTCTCACTTGGAAAGAGCTTTCTCAGTTATTTTCTTCCTTGCTGTTGCCAGTTTTTCACAGGGCCTACTTGGTTCCAAGTTCCACGTGAAATAGCACCTCAACCCGGGAGCATCCCTGACAGCAGACCTAGATGCCTCCACCCTCACTACCTAACTACAGGTGTTCTGGGGGAGCCTATCATGAGCTCCCTGAGTCCTCAATGACTGTTGTCAACACTCAGTCCCTACACCAGCAGTTCTCAAGCAGGAGCGATTTTGCCCCCTGCCCCTGCCAATGTACACTCTACAATGTACAACCAAGAAATCCAGCCGCAGGGTTGAGAGACCCTGTCCTGAGCTGGCTCTGTTTGAGTTCCAAGAGGGCAGAATGATGTCTTGGTGAATGCCTTGCTCCTGGGACCTATGACACAGGGTCTGGCACACAGTGGGTACTCAAGGAGGGTGCTGATGAGGTGGAATGGCTAACGGCTGTGCCTAAAGAGAAAGAACCACAGGCCCCACTGTCTCTGCACACAGACAACTCAGCGGTGAAGGGAGTGTGCTGAGAGAGGCTTTGGGGCTTGTGGCATGGGCATTAGGATTGTTTACTTGGGCTTTTGAGGTTGCAAGAATAGAAATGCACCCAGGGCTTCTTGAGAGGAACTTTTGCTGAGGAGAGATGTGAGTGGAAAACTACACTGCAGGCAGGCCACCCTGGGAGCTGTCACTGGCACCTTCCATTAGAAGATGCAGATAAAGCTTGTTCATTCCCTCTGGCTCTCCCCACACACCCCGAGCTCACCCAGACATCTCTGCTTCCTTGCTGTGGGCTCCTACAGGGCCTTTAGCCACAGTGTCTAGGGCCCACCCTACTGTTTAGGAGCCAACGAAAAATATTTTTCTTATTAGAACCAAAAGAGGGGCTTCCCCGGTGGTGCAAGAGGTTAAGTCTCAGCACTATGTAGCTATTGGCAGCCACTGCAGCACAAGTTTGATCCAGCCAGGGAGCTACCCACATGGTGCAGCAGAACTCTCCTATCTCACCCACTGCTCCCCTCAGCAGTGTTATTTCAGTAGATCTGCCTGTTCTGTTCCCCACTCTGTCTCTGGTGAATCCTCTCACCTCCCTCACCTCTGGCCTGTACCCCAGCTCTTATATACATAAATAAATAAATCTTTTTAAAAAAGAACCAAAAGAAAAAGAATATAATACTAATGAATAGAATAGAATGAATCTAGCCTGGATTATTTTCATCTTTATACCGGTGCAGTGCTATAATTTGTAATACAATATTATGGATCGAGGGGCTCCCTGCAAGGCACCACCCATTAGCCTGTACTCAGTGACCTCTCAGGCACAGCTCCACTCTTGGCCACCTCTCCCTGTTCATGGAAACTCCATGGAGAACCCACAGGAGACATTTCAAATACAAACACGTAACTAGGAAGTGCTCTGACTGTGATGAATTTTCCTTGGGAAAGAGTTTTCCGGAATGGACTCCATTAAGTCACTTTAATTCCTTTATCAATTTTCTATAAAGCTCAGTTAAGCTATTTCCAATTTTTTCACTTTTTCATTTCAAGTTGACTGAAGCAGTTTTCACTGGGACCAATTCTTACTCACTGAAATTTCTTATCAGAAATTTGGTTCATAGATCAAATTTTTGTCAATACCATATTTCACTGATGATAGCTGCTGTCCTGGCGAGTTTTCTTTAGTGAACTTTATTTCTACCAAATCTACTTTCTGGAATCAAATTTTGTTCTAAATGTTGTCAAGAACTTTTGATTCTTTCATGAGTTGTGGTAAATAACAACCCTCTAATTTTGCCAGCTCAGCTTTCCCAGGCACCGGATAAAAGACTTCAGAATTTATAACTATTTTTTAGCTTAAACCACAAGAAGGATGTGATTACAAAACAGAGACTTAGGGTGATATGGGGCGAGGGGAGCTCAGAGCTTAGCAGCGCTCCTAAATTTTCGAATACACACCAGAGCTCAGGGTGATCCAGGGAGGCAGGGGAGTCAATGGGAGGAGCAAAATGCTCAGTGTTCCAGCTCATCTGTGCCCACCCTTGTCTTATATCACAGGCCACATGACACTCTTGCGTCCATCACAGGTTAGAGAAAGGCCGTGGAATAAAAGAATGATGGCCCAGATTTGGCACTGAGTCAACAGTGGGGCCAGCCAGGGTTCCTTAGAGAGGAGGGAAGGCGTGAGCCAGAAGTCTGGGCCAGGGGAGAGTAACTTCTTTCTGAACAGATCTCTCCATGGCCAGATGCTCTTCCACATCGATTCTATCAGGTGACTTGTAAACAGCACTGTGAGGAGGTCATGTCACCTCTTTTGGATGATGAAGGAACATAAGGGAGCAAGGTGGGGCCTCTCCTGTTGTGCCTCATAGTGACTCAAAGGACAGTGAGGGTCTGCAGAGTACTTCACAGTGGCCAGAGGGCTTCAAGCTGCCTCCTGGCATTTCTGGGCCCAGGAACAAAGTGTAAATGAAGGCCCAACTACCACAAGTCTAAAATTTAGCAGTTATTACTCAGACTCACAAGCTGTGAAAAGAATGTTTTCTCCCCATATCTTTTTTTGGTTAAAGATTTATTTACTTATGCATATAAGAACTGGGGTATGGACAGGCCAGAGGCATGGAGGGTGGGGTGTGAGAGAATTCACCAGAGACAGAGTGGGGAGCAGAGCAGGCAGACTGACTGAAATGCACTGCTGAGGGGAGCAACGGGCGAGCCAGGAGAGGTCTGCTGTGCCATGTGGCTAGCTCCCTGGCCAGGGATTGAACTCATGCTGCAGTGGCTTTGGGTAGCTTCATAGTGCTGCGTCTTCAACGCTTGCACCACCAGGGAGGTCCCTTCTCCCCATATCTTAACAATTGTATCTTAATAATGACAAACTTTGAAGTATTTTTCATGACTGAAAACTAGTTTTTATATAAATGAAGTTTGCAGAGTTTCAAAGATGAGTGAAATTAACCATTACTATGTATGGCTGAATGGCCTGTTAATAGGCAAGTGAGGTCTGAATGAATAATATTATAAAAACACAGTTATTCTTTTATAACATTTACATCCCTTTATTTTAACTTAATTATATTTTTATAAGGATTTTTATAAAAGCTGTGTTTTATTGGCAGAAATGCCAAATTAGGCTATCTTTTATGAGCCACTGTTCTTATACTTTTTCTTTAAATTCAGTACAGAGAAAGCTTAGTTTTCTGAGACAGCAACTGGAATTATTGGTAGATTGCTTAAAGCAGTACTTAGATTCAGACATGAACCATAAATTTTACATTTCATTTGATTAAAATATCACTTTCATTATTTATTTTATAGGAAGATTCTTTCAATTAAAAGTATTTCCTCTAAACATTTAAAAATATCTTTAATCCTTTAAAAAATAACATAATTTAGGCCTGTTTGTTTTTTAAAATAACCTTTTGCTAACATTAGTAATGACAAGCAACAATGAAGCAACCAAATAACTATGGCTAGCACGAATTGTAAAAATCATTTTATTTTGTGTCAAAGACCATAATTTGTTCTTTATGAGGATCTTCTGCTGTCTCGCTGAACTCTTGTACCATAATGTATCTTGCCCAATTACATCCATTTCCTTTAAGAGGGTCTGTGAGTGGTTGTAAGGTCAAATTTGATATGTGTTCCATCAAGATGTTCTGTCTTGGGACAGATCCAGAAAATATCATGTAACGATGATCTGTCCT